AGGTGCAGGGAGGGCAGGGCGGGGGGGCGGTGGGAGCTGGTGCGGGCCAAGGCGGTTTCCGAGGGGTCCCGGAGATGCTGGAGTTGTTGCACATGCTGCGGGTTTGGGGTTGGGTTTGTTTGTGTTTTTTTCTTCTTTCTTTCTTCTTTAAGCCCCTCTCTTTTCAATCTGGCTGTGTTTCATTCAATCTAGGGAAGGAAAGGACTGGCAGAGGGTAAGAAGTGCCTTTCAAAAGAAATTAATGAAACCCAGGGAAGTTGCGAAACTGGATACCACAATCAATGAGGTACGCTGCTTTGAGAAACTCTTTCCCACTCCCCTGGAAACCTGCAAAATAAAAGCAGATCAAGTGATCCGGTTTACCTGGATAGCTGTTGACCTGCTCTACAGTGGCAAAACTATTAGTTAATACTCAGAAATCATTCAGGGAATAATAAGTACAAACTGATTATCAGGGTCTGACCAACAGCGAGACCACACAGAAACTTGTAGTTGAGATTGTCTGTCTCCACAGAATAATAAGGTGATTCCACAGTGCTACAGGCTCCTGCAAACACGGGTTTTGCTTATTTTTCCTGCATTCAGTGTTTTTCTGCCTTTACTCCTTCATTCCTATATTCCTCCTGTCAGGGAACACCTCCCGCCTTAACTTCTGTGTTCCTCATTGAATGTGAGGAGCATCTGTGATAAACAGCTTAATCCTCCTTCTTGTGAAACTCCAGCATTATCCCAGTGTCAGACTGAAGCATTTCATCCCTGTGGAGGAAAGCTCAGTTTGTTGAAATACAAGCAGTAATAGTACGAGGGTCATGTATAATCCATACGTTAACACAGGGGGAAATTGTCTTGTTGAAAGAGCAGGAAACATAAGTATTCCTCTCTCAGGTGAGATCGTTACCTATTTAAAAGACAATTGAAGTGTTAAATTACACAGGATTTTTATGAGTTGATGTCATTTTATTCCCTTCTTTTGTCTCTCTTGTCTCCACCACTTAGGTCCTGGAGGATTTCATGCACAGAATAGATGATGTTTGTAACCACAACGGGCAAATGGAAGATGTCTATTCAGAATTCAACAAATGGTCATTTGAAAGTAAGTTGGGTTTGAGAATGGTATGCATTTCGTACCTGCCATGGCATTTTAGTTTAAATACGATCAGTGATGGCAGCGTAGGCTGATTATTTCCAAACTATCAGCTACAATTCCATGGAAATTGGGTTTCAGAAAAGCCAGAGGACTATCAGTAGTCCCCTGCAAAATTCATCAACAGCTATACAAACTCTTCTGTCTGGTTACCTATGTGGCTTGTGAAAAAATTCAATAATAGTGACTTATAAATCTGAAACTTGGGGGAATCACAATGCATTTATCTAGAGTGGGATCAGATAGTACATGACCATTCTTGTCCATCTGATATTTGTTAATTATAAGCAGCACAATATCAATTAAATGATCTAATAACAGTGAAAAAGTATTTATTGTAGAGAAGGGTTGGAAAATCCCATTTAAAATGTTTATATTGGGATTGAGAAGCACTGGAATAAGTTACCAAGACAGGAACCTCCATCTTTTGAAACTTTTCAGAGTACAGTAAGGAAACATCTGCCAGGAATGACTTAGGGCAGAGGAACTATCACTGGTTCCCAACAAGGAGCGATGGTTGGGTGTAGAGCTTAACTGAATGGGCTCTGCCAGACCTGTCTGCTCTCGGCTGGCTCATCTCAGCAACCTGTGTACTGAGTTCCTGAAAGTGTTTTTTTTTTCTGCTGTCAGTGGTGATGGCTGCTTTTGGAAAGGGAGAAATAGGAAATAACAGCTTTTTTTTTAAAAAAAAAAAAAAGAAAAGAAAAAGGCAAGTGGAAAGAGGTGGAAACTTGTGGAGTGTGGGAGTGTGGGATGCTGCCAGTGTTTGCACGTGTTTTCTAGCTGTGGAAAGGGCTAGGAGATGCTGGACTAGATGGCCTCTTCAGGACCTGTTTTCCGGTGACTCAGTTCTCTTCAGTAGCTTTACTGAATAGCTTACTTGCCAAATATGCCAGCCCTGCTTGGCAGGATGATCTGCTGCTCATGTGAGGGGATCAGTGGTGATTCTTATTGGTGAAGAAAGTGCTGCTGTCAGGGCAGCTCAGCTTGATACGCTGCTACTTGGGTCTGAGGCAAACGTTCAGGAGGTGTTTCGAAGGGCTGTTCTCACAGGTGTGTATCATAGAACAGAGACAATTTTTCAGAAAGATAATACAAGCCATTCCTTGACAATAAATGGTGGACACCATGCACCCTTTCGTTTGTATTATTTAATGACAATATTGCTTAACAACAGGTATCTGCCTGGTGCTGTATGGAAAGAGGTTTGGACTCCTACAGCAGGATGTAGAAGAAGAAAGTTTGAACTTCATCAAGGCTGTGAAAACGGTATGGAAGAGTCTTTACTGGGGCTGTAGTGATTTTCTACCACTACTACTAATGAGAGGGCACCAGTTTAACTGGGTCACCTGAAAAAAGAAACTCAGGCTTCTGTGCTACATGTGTACTGGCAGCCTTGCACACCCAAGGCGACACTTAGATGTGCAATGCTAGTACTGACCATCTGACTGTCCCATTATGAAATGCTTAAATCTGTGGGGGGAAAATCCTGTATAGACAGCAGGGTAAACCTGAAAATATAGTTGTCAGGTTGGTTGGTTAACTTTCTTCTCCTTCTGAGACACCTGTTGTGAAACTCTGCTGTTTCTTGGGTGGGACTCTTGGAGTTGTGTGGGATTATGCAAATATGCTGGATTTGGAGGTTAGTCATTCCTGCAAGCACACCTGCTGTGTATTTTGCTGCAACGTGGACACCGGTGACACATATCTGCCTAATTTTAGCCATCTAAAAGATAGGTGTCTAGCCTAGCCTAGTTTTTTAGCTTCATCTGTTGTCAAGGGAGAGACAGGCACTGCCAAAGGGTGGCTTGTGCCATTCTAAAACAGGTGCCTAAAATAAATAGGATGAATCACACGCTGGGGAAGCCTCCTACCATCCACTGGCTGTCCCTAATTTTTAGCTGGTTATGGTCTATGGAGGTTGAGACCCATCCTTTCTGTCCAGGATAGAAAATGTGCCAGAATCTTGACTTCCTGAAAATTGCCTCCTATTTTACAGTCTAATTTTGGTCAGAGATGGCAAGTATATAGATTAAAGAAAGACTTCAAAAACTCTTTCTCCACCACAGATGATGGCTACTTTTGGAATGATGATGGTGACCCCCGTGGAACTTCACAAGGGTCTGAACACAAAAGTCTGGCAAGCTCATACTAAAGCATGGGATGATATATTTAAAACAGGTTATTGTTTTAAACACAATTTCTCTCCTTTCCCTTCATCTCTGTTTCCTACTTGGTGGAATTAACTTTCTTCATACTTGCTACTGCCCAACGCTGCTGTTAATTGCTGCCTTCAGCACAGATTGAGACACCTCTGCTGCAGCTAACCACAAACCTATTCCAGGCATGGCAGCACTGCTTTCTTATGACTAACACTTGGGGCTGGTTGTGCGGCAATGCCCAGTCCCCAAGGAAGCCCCAGAAATTTGGGAGCCAGCAATGTCATGAGTCCAGTTTAATCTGTCAAAAAAGTAAACAGCCAGAAAGTGTATCATCTCTGTAAAGGCAAGGTGTATGAGTGAGAAAAGGGACCTCCCTCAAAGGGACCTCAGAGGGAGTTTTTTCTTGAGAAACAAGAATTTTACATGCAACAAAAGCCTGTTTGCTAAAAATAAAAAGACACAATAGGGTTTTTGAACAACTTGGAATGTAGTTGTAAGTCTTAAAAACAGAAGCAATTTAAATCATAAGGTACAGTTTGGCTTTTTGACAACATTTTCTGTCTATTTAAGATGAATTGGCCTTCAAGGTTACAAAAATTACTCTTAACTCCGGATATGAAGTTAAGTTCATATTTTTCAATATTTTGCTAGGCAGTGACAGTTATAGCTAAAGAATAAGAAAGGTTTTGGCACTTGAATAATTGTAACACTGAGTGATATATTTGTCTTAGGTATTTGAGTTCTTGATACTTCAGGACTTTAGGTCATGCCAGCTACACATGCACTTATTTTATTGTTTTTTAGTTTATGGGTTTTAGGAAAGACACTTTAAACCAGTTTTATTCTGAAAAACCAGTCTGACACCTTCACTTGACATGAAAAGCTCCTTACCAGGAACTGGTCTTAACAATTGGGATATTCATGAGAAAGGGTGGGCAAAATCTAGTTCTTTATATTTAGAAAAAAAATCATGTAGAAATTTGGCATCTATTTTTGTCTTCCCTTAGTAAATCAAAGGCATAAATTTCCCTTCGGGGAGTTTGAGTGCTAAGTCTCTTTGATTTTAACGCCTTGATCCCCTTTGAAAATCCAAGCTAATAAATTTTACACACTTGTATTTCTGTTTGCTAAATGTATCACTCAACGCATCACTGATTTCCTTTCCTAATTTAAGAAAGCAGAATTCTTAGTAGTTTGCAGGAGCTCCTTCTGTTCAGAAGTGATTTTTGTGACTGAGGTTTTTGTCTAAAAAGTGAAAATACCATTATTTATTCAGTATTTGCTCACTGCTTGAAAAAAGCACACAGCTTGGTATCTTCTGTCAAAATCCTGCATGTGAGACATATTTTTATTTTTATAGTATTTTTATAGTATTTTTAGTGATTTTCCATTAATTACCTCCTGCTCCTCCCTCCTCAGCCAAGCATTCAATTGACTGTCGACTGGAAAAACACTCTGCAAACCCTCAGGAGGATTTCCTGTGTGACATCTATTCTGGAGGACAACTTTCCAAGAAGGAGCTGTACGCTGCCATCGCAGAGCTCCAGATTGCCGGAGTTGAAACGGTAAACCTGACTTTCCGAGAGCCTGTTAAAATTAGCATCCTTCCAACTCCCTGCTTTCTTCCATAACCTAACCATCACGACAGCCGGGAGTGAGCTAATCCTGCAGTTGCTTTGGTGGCCTAAGTGCAAGTGAATTTTTACCTGAAGTCACTAGATTCTTTCCTCTGTTCATTACTCCTAGAGAACAACTGGGATGGTTTATAACCCCTTAGGTCTACAAAATACCATAAGGCAGTGACCAGCTGTAAACGATGCTTTGAACTTTTGGCAACTTCTTGTTTCTGTCACCACAAATGGAGGTCTTACATTTTTTTTGGTTTGTTTCAGACGGCCAATAGTTTACTGTGGGCTTTGTATAACATTTCACGCAATCCAAATGTTCAGCAGAAGCTTTTCCAGGAAATACAAAGTGTTTTGGCTGCTAATAAGAGTCCAAGTGCTGAGAACTTGAAGAATATGCCTTACCTAAAAGCATGCCTGAAAGAATCTATGAGGTAAAATTCTCAAATAATTTGCAAAAAAGGAAAATTATCACAAAATTTTTTACCAACTAGTGTGTACTAGGGAGAAGGAATTTTCTAGTATATATAATTTTGTTCACCTTGTCGGTTAAGGTAAACTAAGATAGATACAGGAAGAAAAAATGCTGGAAATTGAACCCATTTTGTTTCTTTCACTGTAGATTAACACCGTCGGTGCCATTTACCACTCGCACCATCGACACAGAAATGGTTCTGGGAGATTATGTACTGCCCAAAGGGGTAAGTCAATTAATTTAGCTTACTATGGTATTTTGCCATTGATTAACTGTCCTGTAAACCACTGAAGTTGGTCATATTTCAGTCTCCAAAATGCCATTGCCAAAGGACAAGTCCCAGGATATAGAATGAGGAATTCACACCAAGAATTCCCATAAACTGAAAACGATACCTGCCCGCACTTCTGTTGGATTTAGACAAAAATATTTTGGTGTGCAATTTCAAAAAATTTTTTCAAACTTTCCCATGGTTTTCTGAGGAAACTATGATGTTTTCTGCGTTTGAATTAATCTTCAGAGAATTACATGACATCTTCCAAAGAAACTGCCTTGCCTTTACTGTTGCATTATTTCTTTCCATCAACAAGCTGATTCACTTGGTAGCTCTAAGCCAATTGGTAATGAGACTCCTTTTATTGCTTTGTTTATAGACCGTACTAATGATAAACAGCCATGCCCTGGGTTGCAATGAAGAGTACTTTAATGGCTGGACGCAGTTTAAACCAGAGCGCTGGTTTCAGAAGAACTTAATAAATCCTTTTTCTCATGTTCCGTTTGGCATTGGGAAGAGGATGTGCATCGGGCGCCGCGTAGCGGAGCTACAGCTTCACTTGGCCCTTTGCTGGGTAAATACTCTAAAGCGGCATTCTGTACACAGTGCCTGGCTCTTCCACATTTACCCTAATCAGGAGATCTAGAAGGCAAAGCATGCTAACTAAAGTGTTTCTCTTTCAGCTCATTCGCAAATACCGAATTGTAGCAACTGACAACAAACCGGTAGAAACGCTCCATTCAGGAATACTGATTCCCAGCCGGGAGCTTCCCATTGCATTTCACAGACGACAAGGTACGTGCGTGGGGGTCTCCTGAGTACATGAGACTTTTCTTTGGACCTCATTCAGAATTTTCATACAACTGTGAGTGTAAGAGAACAGATGTTTTTCTAAGCTTTATTCTCACAGTGTGAGATTTATTAAATGCCATCATGCTTCATTACTCTTAACAGAAAATATTCTATGTACCAAGAAGACAAATTTTGTACGGCTTGTGGCTCTGAAGTTAGGTCTCTAGTTTTAAACTCCAAGACAGCCTGTCTTCTGTGTGTGATGCAGATCAGAAATGGGGAAACCAAAATGTTTATACTGCTGGAGAAAATAATAGTCATTATTTTGTTATAATATAACTTCTCCACTGCATTTCTAGAAGATATTTCCTGAAAAATAGCACTTGATTTTAAGCATCAATGTACATATTAAAAAGAAAATGCCCTAGTGAAGGAACAGTACACCAGTGGACTACAGAGTTTAGATAAAAAAACTTGATTTTAGGCAGAATGACAAAAAAGAGAAATATCTATTTGCAATGTTGCAACTTCTTACACATTTTTGGTTTAAAAAAATTGAATGTAAGATTTTTCTCTGCTCACAAGCTTATACAAATAAGATAACAAAAATAGTTTATCTGCATAAAAATCTAAATTGGAAATCCAAGACTGTGACCTAGAATTAAGTCCTGAAATTAGAAATCAAGTGACATTTGAATATTGTGGGGGATATTTTTTTGCCAGCCAACACCACAGGAAAAAAATCACCCAGTGTAATCTGAGTAAGGGTTCTAACTCCTTTAACTGAAGTTGGTTTAGTGCTGTTTGCTTTTAAATAATTGATCACTATATAGATTCTTTTTCTCTTTAATACAGATTGCGGAAAATAAATGACAACTCTGCTGCTGCCTTCTCTGAAAAAGATATCCATCGATTGGGAAAGTCAAAGCCTGGGGTAACCAGTGGAGAAACGGCAACACATGTCCCTTGGACAATTGCTGAGCCAGAAATAGTACCAAGAAAAGCTCCCATACTGTTTTATTGGAAAAATGTGGTTAGTTAGTTCAGCTGTACTTAGCAATGTTAAAAGGAAAGAAAAATACCATGCATGTTCATATACCTATGCAAATATACTGATTTAGTGCAGCTGGGGGACTGTACGGGATAGAGCTTGATAATGAGCTGCGGAGCGTTATGTATAGTTCTTGTTAGTGCACAGTGAAATTATTATAGCCTCAAGCTGTTCAAGAGGCTAGCTTGGAAAGAGCTGGTTTCCAGTTTGTGGGTACCGTATAGGATACCTGAGGGAACAACAGTTACGGCTGAACTGGCCCTGTTAGCTCAGAGTTGAAGAGCTTAAGGGAAAAGAAACTCGCTTAGTCCTTATCAAATTACCAATGCCATGGGTAAAACTGAGAAGTAAGGTGGCAGTCTGTAATAAGGCTAATGACAGGGCTTAAAAATTAGGGCAATTAAAGTTAAAGAAGTATAGTTTCCCTAATGTTATTCACTTCCTTAATAAAAGGGAAATGAGGACAAAGGTATATAACAGGATTTATTCCTCATGCCTGCATAGTGCTTTGATTTGAACAGATGCAATACTGTGCCTGCCACATACTCTGCTCATGCCCGCAGAGTTTCATGCCTTCAACTCCCAGACGAGCCATCCTATCACACCTTTATTGTAAAGCCTGAGTGGTCTTTTCTTGCATGAAAGGCCTTATCCGTGAACGGAATCACTGGAATCCTATGGGTTCTGCCACTATTAAATGATGATTATCCTAACAGGATAGTTACTTCATCATGTGAGTAGCGTAAAATGTATGTTTCAAAGAACCACAGGAAATAAGGATCCTAAACATTTCGAAGAGGTCTATTTCTTGTGGAGATTTCAATACCTGTATCTAAAGGTTAAAGCTGTCACTGCCCTGCATGTAATACTGTATGTTAGCTATTATGGTCACCAGTGCTTTATTCCCCATGATGCAGATTCAAATACAGGTTTATATATATAACCATGAATGGTTATTTTATTTTTTTTACATTCTGACATGATACAAGTTCTTAGCATTTTTGGTCTGTCTCCTACAGGTTTTTTTGTTTGTTTTCCTCTGCTGTTATACTCAGACATGTAAATGTAGCCATATTACAATGTGTAAAGCAATTTGTTACCTGAATGTTTCTAGTCAATTTGGTAATAGTCAATTTTGTAATAAAAAAAAATTTTCAATTTTTTTTCTATAAATAGTCTTCCATAGTTTATTACAAAGTCTTTGCAGCATTACAAAAGTCCTGTCTCTCATGGTAACTTCTTGCAAAAAAGTTGCTGTGGAACTTTCATCCCTCTGCGTAATATCCTCAACGGGCTTGAACTTGAAATTCTACAAAATCAGGTTACTTTAATTCAACAGTGAAAAACTTCTGCTTTACAATACCCCCAAGTTGCTTGATTGTGTGCTGTGATGACTCCCTACCTGGGGAGCTGTTTGCCAAGCCCCGCTCCCCGCGGGAGGGTACGGTGGGCACTGCCCGGCACCCGGCAGCCCCGGCGAGGCAGACCCTGGCTTAGCAGGGATGGAGGAGTTTAGCCCTGCAGTGCAGAGCTTTGATGCCCATCTCCTTTTGTGCCATTAATCTTGCCATTCCTTCAATCCAGGCTAGCCCTAGGATTCGGGAATGTATTAAATCCATGCCCGCAGCCCCTTTCCCTCTGTATAATCCCATCAGACCTCAGTGAATGCTGGTGATGGGATCTGCATCCATAGCACAGTCTGAACACGTTTCTCCCCCACATGCACCAGTACTGAGATCTCCAGGCGTGGGATTGTTACATTTCTCTACCATTATGACAAGATAAAATCAATATAAAGATTTGAGGAAGGATGAAAATAGTTTGAGCCTTTGCAGGATCAAAAGAAATGATGTCTATTAAAAAAAGCCTTCCACCCAGCACCGTGACTGACAGCCTGATGGTTACGCAAAGAGCAAATCTGACAGTTATCAAAACCATGCCATCTTTGCCAAGTCAAGGCTGCCTCCGGCGGAGTGAATGATGCTGTACAAAAAAACGTACAGCACTGTGTGAGAATATCGCTTTTCTGAAAATCATACTGCAATGTGTGCTTTCGAGTGACTGCAGCTTGTGCTGCTGAAACCACTCCGACAGAGCGGTGGGTCCCGCAGCCCGGGAAGGTGGGCTGGGAGAGCATGGGTGCTCGCCCCATCTGCGGGGGGCTCTGGCGGCTCCTGCTCAGGTGCAAGACTTTGGGGGGAAATCTGCCCAAGCTGCGACAATAACACATACTAAGTTTCTTCTTATAGTATTATAAACTAATGTTACCCCATTACAGCCAATGGAGTGGTGCCAATGTGGAACAAGTGTTAACAGAAAGTCAGGACTATTGTTCAATTCCAGGCATATCACATTGCTCGCAAATGTTCCGATGATTTAACTTTTAAAGACAACCAAAGGGAAGAGGTGTTATCTGGTTGAACTGACCTTGACAGCCTAGTTATCAGCTGTTTCGAAATCCTTTATTGCTTCTGTATAGTAAATCACAGGTTCATGCTTACTGGACTGATTATTTTCACTGTTTAAATTTAGAGGACTCAAAGATCTATACAAGTGTTGCTCTGAGTAAGGTTTTGACCAAGTCTATACAAGCCGAGGCACAAATGTGTGCTGTCTCCTGGGTTTCTCAAAGTACAATGACCGCTGACCTGGAAAATTTTGTTCCGGAAGCTTTGTAGATTTTCAAGTTCCTGAAGTTTTCAAAGAACTTCATTAATCTGCTACCTCAAAGTACATGTCCAAAGCAATTTGCCTAGGAAACAGGTAATTATCAAACTACAAAGACAATGAATGACCAAGCCAGACTTGCACATTAAGAAATCCAGATGGCTTTCTTTTTCTCGTATTTCAGAAGTATGAAAAACAGCATGATGCTTCTGAGATTAATAAATGTCTATGAAACCTTTCGCCTATGGTCAGCTGGATAAATTCAGTTCAGTTCTTTGCTTCTTTGAAATGATTTGCTCATTCAGAATTACTTATTAAAAAGATAATGGCAACACTACTTCCCTGTTATCATTTCCTACAGTTACTCCTCAGAGGAAGATAGTTGGATCGTAAAATGAATGGAATTAATTGGCCTCCACATTAACTTTCTCAACAAGGAAGTGAAGGTTTACATATCCAAAAGGAAGTTAATTCTGTTCAGGCTTTAGGCATGTTAGTGGGAAAGAGATAGAAAAAGTTGGAGCCAACTAATCTGCGCTTTTTTTACGAGTAAAGAATGTCAGTTTTCAGGACTGACAATCTGGCATTTTTCATACATGTTCTGTTCATTATAAGCTGGCTGTTAGGTCCTATGCTCTGACTCACTCTCCGCGTACACCTTTCACTGCCCTGATTAGATGACAGATAATGTGTTCTAGTTTGTCTTCTTCCGCTCTAGGAAGGATCTTTGTTTTCAACAACTAGAGGTAGAATCCATGTCTGCATCCCTGCTGACTTTAACTGATGGGGCAAAATAATTCAAGCTCTGAAAAATTAATTCTGCAAAATGTTGATAGCTAAGGTTCATTTCAGAATAAATTTTAGGAGAACAACTCAGCACGCACTTAATTTTAAATATGTGCAACATTGTATTGACCTCAGTGGAACTGCATGTGTATGTGTGGGGTTTTTAATGCATCGTCGCTTTTTGTAAAAGGAGAAAGTTTAACAATTCCCAGCATGTCTTTTGTGGCACACATATCCAAAAGTCAAGTAAGGGTTGTAGCTTTAGAAGAAAAAGCAGCCTTTTTACATCAGATAATTGAAACAAAGGGCCTATTGAGGTTGGAACTACAAGCAGTCTCATTAATCTCTTACCTTGGATGCGTGTGCTCTTCTGATAACCTGTGGATTGATATACTGTGGTGTGGGTGGCTGCATTCAAAATTTTTTTATGTGTCCTTCCAGGCATGGCTTGGGAAAAAGTATGAATATTACATTACGAAACGGAGCATTATGCTTATTCCCTTACATTTATTCTTGGGTATTTTTGAGTATCAGCTTTCAAGAAAGTAAAAAACAGAGATGCTAAATTGTTTTGTCCCAGAAGGAGCAGACGTCCTGGCCTTTCAGGCCATACTGCCGACTCTCCGCTCTCCTGTACCGTAGCGCAGGGCTGCACTCCCGCTGCCTTAAATCCCTTCCGCACACCGTGGTATAAACCAGGAATGTGTTTGTTGACACTGAGAAATGTAAACTAACACGAAACTGGTATCAGCGACTAGAGAATCAGTACAGTTCTTTGGGCAGGGAAGCGAGACTGGTACGGATGGAGACCGCACTTGGGACCTGGTTCATCGTTACAGTGTATGTTTTTCAAGACAGCCCAACTCTCCGTGTGAATATTACTGTTCGCTTTCTTGTTTGTTTATCCAAAAGTGCATTAACACGTTATAGAATACCTATCTGGACCCTAACTTCCATATTCCTATATTCTTCTTTGCTAGCAGAGGAAGGACTACATTGACTTTGATCTCCTGTCCACAGTTTTTGTCTCAGCTGTGTGATCGGTAGCCTGTGGCTTTGGAACAACATCAAAAGTTAAACTTAAGCTATGGTATTTGGATCCAGAAGGAGTTTTAGAAAGCTTTACGTTGTGGGGTTTGGATGGAACTGAACAGTTATGGAGCAATCCTCCTCCTGACACGGACAGCAGCAATGAGACTTCTTTATGAGACAAAATATTTTTCTCCAAGGGACAATGTCAAAACAAGTGTGGAATGGAATGCATTTTATAATCAGGGCAAATTATACTTGACTTTCTTGGGCATGTTCCTCTCGACAAGTTCGAACTCTTTGCCTCTAATTGTTAAGTGTGTTGAATGAACTCCAGGCACCTCGTGTCGGAGGAGAAGGGAAGGCAGGGGAGGCAGCAGCTGGCAGGGAGCACAACAGGGCAATAAAGGGGAACTCTGAGTACGAGAGTTACTCCTGGTCTTCCCAAATTGGTATACATGTTTATACTTTACCCCCTGCTATCAACCTAGGTGCCCAGAAACTTGATAGTAAATCAAACAAATCACATCTGATTCATCCTGCTGTTGAACTGTGTTCCACATAAAAGCAGGAGATAGGAGAGAAGCAGGGGAACGGTGCAGGTCTTGCTTACCTTGAACTAAAGGGTACCCTCACTGCCGGATGGACTTCCAGCAGCAGGGAGCTGGCTCAAGGCGAAGAAAGGAAAAATGTTCTCTGAATTTAATGGAAATGGTGGAAGGAAGGCTTTGAAAAACTCATACTTCAGGCAGGATAGGTTGCGCTTATCTAGACTTTCAAGTTCCCACAAAAAAGCCCTCGTTGTTATCTCAGTTATACCAATGGAAGTCACAAATAGTTTTGCAGATGAGGTCAATGCCTGAATCAAGCTCGGTCCCATTTGGTGCGGGGCAAAGGTACCCACATATCTCATCAGGGGTCAGCCAAGAGCCAGCTCAATCCATGGGCAAAGGCCATCCACAGTCCTAAAACTGGGAGCTGCTTTGGTGGCTCTGCAGGAACATTCAACCACGGGCTGCAGATACCGCTGCACTTTGCCAACGCACTCATTATGTTGAGGTTGCAGATTGATAGGATTTCACTGGCTGTCCTACCACAAAGCACAGGAGAAGGCCTCCGCTAGGATCCAAATTTTAGTAATGTTAAATGGAGCCTGCAGAGCATAAGTAGAACAAGGAAGAATTTGGGCGTAAGATTCTGGGCAGGAAGACATTAAGAT